CGGTGGTGGAGCCACCATGGTTGAACTATTTTAGAAAATGGGGTCCAAAAATAGAGTATGATCTTGATAAAGAAATCAAGAATTTGGAGAAAATCATGATTGGAAAGTTGAAAAAGGCTTTTGATAAGTTTGTGAATGGGATACCAAGAGAGGTGTTGGGTGAGGAAGGGCCCACTGGGCCAAAAGTGAAAAACAATTGGAGTGGAGATGAGATGTGAAATGTCATGAATGGTTTGACTTTTACATCTTATAAATTATTGATACATCACTTAAATTACCATTTCTTTTATTCAAATTCGCCTCTTAATCATTTTTTTTCTGGGTTGACCTAAATATCACTACTTCTAAAATTCAATACAGATATGCAATTACGATGGCCAGATATGTAATTATGATGGCTAGGTCCGTAATTGCGACGGTGAACCGGTTGAATTTGATTTTTTTTTGTCTTTTAGCTAGGTCCGATTGGTATTGCGGATGTAGTAATATTTGGGTCAACCCATAAGAGAAATGGTTAGGAAGCCAATTTGAATGAGAGAAATGATCATTTAAGCTAATTTCTCCAATTTTATTCATTACCCATTCTATATGAGTTGTATGTAAATGAAGAGAAGATATGAAATATAAAGGAGTAGGATATGAATAGCAACCTTTATTGTATTGTATGAATTTATAATAATAATAAAAACAATATTACTACATAAATATTGCCGCTATGCGAGCCGATTAATCTCAGGATGAGCATTTGCTTTGCAGATAGTCCGGAGTCATCGCATTTGAACCTTCGTGGCTAGGGCTGTAAACGAACTGAACGTTCAACGAACCGTTCGGCAGGAAGTTCGTTTATTTAATAAATGAACGAACATGAACAAATTTTTTCGTTCGTTTAGTTAAACGAACGAACATGAACAAGAGTCTCGTTTGTTCATTTATGTTCGTGAACGTTCGTTCATTTACCGTTCGTTTACGTTCATTTATATTCGTTTGTTTATGTTCGTTTATATATTAAATTTAATATATAATCTTTTGTTTATATACTTTGAATTCAAATAATATTTATTTATGTTCGTTTAGCCCATTCGTTTATGTTCGTTTAGTCCGTTCGTTTATGTTCGTTCGTTTACGTTGGTTTAGTATGTTAACAAACGAACATAAACGAACACGAACATACCTGATTTCTAAACGAACGAACACGAACACAAAGATTTTCGTTCGTTTACCGTTCGTGTTCGTTTGTTTGTTCGGTTAAGTTAAACGAACGAACATGAATAAGTCTCCGTTCGTGTTCGTTCGGTTCGTTTACAACCCTATTCGTGGCCATAAGGGGATTTTTATTCCTTATTGGATTTGAACCTGGGACCTTCAGGTACTTTTGACCTGTGGAGCCAAACTCAAACGAATCGTAATGGATTTTAAACCATGGTAAACCGTCAATATTATAAATAAATTATAAAAGCCCTAAACGTAACTTTCACTATAACACAAAACCATATATGTAATTTATTCTAAATTAACATGTTTTTTTTGTTATTAATGAAACGATTATAGTATGAAATTAGTGTTAGGAGTAGAAGCACTTTCGATGGTGCCACGTTTGAAGCTGTTTCCAATACGTTACCTTTGTATCTCATTTTATTTAATTATATCTAATTTTAAATATTTAAACTTTAAACTATTATTTACTGCCTTTTTGTTTAGATTTGGTTATATTAATATCTAATTTTAAATATTTAAACTTTAAACTATGATTTGGTTATATTTAAACTTTTCAAATTATTTCAAGAAAATCATTTTGTTTTTAGAATTCAAGTTTCTTTACTATAAATAAAGAGTAAGAACGAATATAATAAGTCTATAAAAAATGTAAATTAGAATTTATTTGTATATATATATGATTGATTGTTTATACCGGGTTGGGTTCACGTGAGACCAAAGGTTGTTCGTGAGACCCGTAAGACCAATTTATGTTCATTGATCGACTTTATAAGCTAATGATCTAATGGTCTAAAGTTGCACGGTGACAAGTTTGTGATTATTGAGAAGTCTCGTGGCAATTTTGTGATTATGAATGTTCAGATTGTAGATCTAATCCAATTGTTGAGAATTGGTCTTACGGGTCTCACGAAAAACTCTTGGTCTCATATGATCCCAAGTCTGTTTGTACCTATCATAAAGAATAACAGACCATATTGTGAGCAAACAACTTCTACGCTTGCTAAGCAAATATCGAACCTACAAAACCAAATCATTTTTAGGTCCTAAAATAAACATAGGATCATAAAGGAATTAAAGAATTAAATATCATGTAAATACCGATATGAAACTGTATTATCCAACTAAAAAGTTGTTTATTTTGATTAATTACTCAACGATGTCTAATTTAGATAAAAACACATTCGCTTTTCTTATGGGGTGGAGGTACCCATGGAAGGAAGATTACTTGGATTAGATGGAGTGTTACTTGTAACTCGATGGATAAGGGTGGTATCGGTATAGACAGTCTAAAGGCGCTTAACTGGAGTCTTATTGGGAAATGGTGGTCGTGATTCCTCACTGACGAGGATAGTTTATGGAAAACTGCATCAAGTCTTTCCATGGCGTGGATGGTGGTTTATTTCGTGATGGTAGTAGGAAGTTGGGGGTATGGGGTACGATCACGAAGTGGAACTCTCTTTTGAGTAAAGTGGGTCTTCATTTTAACAACTTCTGGTCATTGGATTCAAGTGGCAACCGTGTTTGGTCTCTCTCTGACGATGGTGTATTCAAGGTTAAGACGTGTAGGGAAAAATTGAGGAGCGTGTTCTTCAATCGAATCACAGGTGTACGTTGTGGAACAAATCTGTTCCAGGTAAAGTTAATATGCTTTTTTGGCGCTTATCCAAATCTAGGCTACCCACTAGATGCAATCTTATGATTAGAGGTATTCGTATAGAGTCGTATATGTGTCTGTGCTGCCTTTGTCATCCAGAAACGGAAAATCACTTATTTTTTGGATGCTCCACGACTAAAGAAATTGGCGCGCTTGTAAAAAATTGGTGGCCGGAGTTTCATTTTCAAGCTACTAATTTGGCGGTGTTCATTGCGGCGGCAAAGTTCCCGTTCAAAGGCAAGAAGGCGGCTGAGGCTATGGAGGTGATTCTCTTGGTGTTCATTTGGCTTCCTTGGGCTAATCGTAATGATCTCGTTCATAAAAAAACCAGCTAAAATGCCGAAGGCGATTTTCAAAGATATCGTTCTCTTCTCCTTCAATTGGCTTAAAGTTAGATCGAAAAATTGTAAACATCTTGATTGGAACCTTTGGTGTAGTAGCCCATTGAGGGCGGTTTTGTATCCGCTAGAGGCTTGCTAACTGGTTGTTTTTTGGTTTTATAATATCAGCCGTTCCAAAAAAAAAAGTACAAGGATGATAATAGCTTTTCAAATAAGATTTTCGGTCATCAAAATAACATCCTACAAGTGTCTCTTACCCATTAAGCACCAACCGGTTAAGATTGTCGTTCACAAAATGACATGGAAAGATTGTTAGTAAGAAAATGTAATCTCTTATCAGAAGTCACTTACCCGATAAGAGGCGACAAGTGTTTAATTAACTAGTAAGAGCGGGTAAATACATAGTAAACAACCCCTAAATCTATAATAGCAAATAGACAACATCAATTCATGTTGTTTGATTTGATGAAGTAATCTTAAAAGGGATTTACCACACCATGTTTAGAACCTTGACAAGGTCTAATCAAGCGTTAAAACCGAAATTAAGAATCTTCGGGGTTCATTCACCTTCTACGGATAACAAACCATCTACCGATTGATCCCTTCTCTTTAGGAAACAAACTTAACCGGTAAACGACATTAATAAACAAAATATCAAATGGGTAATTGCTTGATACAAATGTTAATTATGCATCTTAATTCAAACTACTGAGTACCCCCTTTAAACCCCAGCACTTCAACCATGAATTTGAAAATGAGAACCATTTTACAAGCCATTTGGTCCTTCCCTTGCACTCCTCTTGAATTTTAACCACATTATTGGCCATACCATTGTATCAAACAAAAGCGCAATCCCAGCAAGGACCATCACGAACCAGTTTACCAGCAAGCAAGCGATCGTTGTCCAATTCCATTGGTTACAGGAAATAATCAGGCGTTCGTCTTGTTACATCAGGTTCTCCTCTTCTAGGAGCAGGATCAAACTGCAATATAATCAATCACTTTGAAATTACTATATTCCTAACCCAAGTAGACAACTCTTTTAAATTCAAAAATATGTTTCTCCTACAGACTAAAAGACCAAAAGTTTGTATTATTCAGACGAGAGAAACCTGAATAAACGTATGGCCCTTGCAATCATCAACTTCCAAGATAGATGCCATGTTCCCACATCGATAGCAATAGTTTGGTGCACTAAAGATGGTGACAACCTTTTGGTCCTGTTTCAAAAACAAAATTTCGCATATAAAATAAACCCGCTAAAGCCGCCACCGACATGACTCAAAAGGGTCCCACAATTTATGTAAATAAAAGTAATTACATGTCCCCAGTTGAATCCCTCCATGACCAGCTGATGAGCTCTAGCAATAAGCTTTAGGTTGTTGGTATGGTTAAATTGCTCAGATATATCCTACAAGACAATTTTATGTTATAGAAGAATCGAACAGTTGTATGAAATGAGATATGTCAAAAGAAAAACGTATTACTTGGCCGAAGGTGTATCCAGCTCCACGGGGTGAAATGCCCCAACCGCAACGGTCATCTGGGTCAGACCATAAAAGATCGCACATTGGGCCTTCATGTGGAACCTCTTGAACACGATCAAAATTTCTTATACTATCAAGAGTTTCAATTGAAGGTGACAACCCACCATGAAGACAGAATATTTCTGATTCAACCTAGAGCCACATGAAAAAGGGAATCAAAATTTTTCATAGCAAAAAGAGGAAAAGAAAAGGCGAACACATGGAGTAGATGTAATGCCGTTAACGTTGAGAAATGTATTGAAGTTAAATATGTTTATAGAGTAAGAAACGAGTATACTAACCAATGCAGTCAATGGAAAATAATCAAAGAGATCTGTAAAAGTCTTCCAAACATTAGCATTGCCATACCTATATAAAAGTATAAAACTACAATTAGATACCAGCAAGGACATTAAGCATACAAGAGCATAGGTGACAAAAGATATACAAAATCCCTGATTGGTGGATATTTCCTACTGAAAAGCACTGTGTAAGTCGCTTAGAGTCCTATAGACTGGATATATGTATTTACAGAAAAGTTCAAAAATGTCTGCATATACTGGACATATATATTTACAGAAACTTAACTAATATGTCTATAAACGGAAAAAGTAACTATAATACTATCTACCAAAATGGGACAATATTTTTTGTTAACAATATACATGATGTAGCCTGATAACATGTTTGCTGAACAATGCTGCTTCAGTTGGAAATTTTGAGATTTTTAGCCCTGATTACTTGGTGATTGCTTTCCTCCTCTTCAGAGATCGAGCACAAGATTAAACATACAAGTTTCAATTTCCTTTCATTTGTGTAGACTTTTATTGAGAAAACTAATAAAACAAAAACAGCCATAAGGTAAGAAAGAATATGTAAAAACAGGCCCTTTACTCATCATACAGATCATAGCATGAGCTTAAAACTTTTATGCCTTTTGTATACTTTAATGGGGTCCAAAAATTTTGATTTTTTTAATTTCAAATATATTTCAGTATGCCATAATTATGATGCAACTACTAGAACGTGACTACAATGAACAGCGAATGACTGATGAAATATCATGAGTGACTTGGACCCTTATCAAGTAGAAGGGTGCAAGAAACTCACTTCCGAAGACATTCGTCATAAAACCCATAAACTTGAGTGATCTGCACACAAATATACTTGTTAGTTCTAGAGGTGGGCTAATTTAATATCATACATGTAGACATAATCAGCCAACTTGCAGGTGACCTGCTTCACAAGATCCATTTTCAAGAAACGTGATTGATACTCAACAAGTACACACACTCACACACACGCACATATATATATATATATATATATATATGTGTGTGTGTATATATATAGAGAGAGAGAGTCATAGACATTCTACTCAGATCTCAACATTAACATCTTAACATAAAAACGGCTACTACCAACTATTACATTTATTTTAACAAGGCAAGACCAATGAGGGAGAAAAATACCTGACGGCTTTCATGATTTCCCCTCAGAATTGTGATTCGTTGAGGATACCGCACTTTCAGAGCCACCAAGAGCTAAAGAAAAGGATATTGGTGCCAGTCAAGAGAGACCCACATGTTAAAAATCGAATTACATCACTTTCATGAAATTGTATTGTACATACAACAGCTTATATATGGAGATGGTGACTAAAATCGTATTTTGATCCAATTTGGTTACCAAAAAAATCTCTCTTTTTCCATCATATTAACTGTTGTTCTTGCTAACCGCAAATTTGAATTCCATTTTCAGTCAAGTAACTTCAATGATTATACTCATTGTGTCCCACAGTAATCGTCACATTTTCAACCCTGGAAGTCTTTTAAACCAAAGTACTAAGTTTTCCCCCATTTCACACAAGTAATTTGTTGAGTTTTGGTTGACAGTAATTACTTCAATTTGAACATGAGTTCAACACAAATGTGTTTTAGGGATTTTCGAAAACAGTCATCTACTTTTACTAATTTGCGTGTAGAATTGAACATTGTAATTTTTGTTGAGCGAAGGGAGTAGTAAATAGGAGATGCCATTATTTTATAACCTCTTCTATGTGTGGAGTTTCTATATCAAATGTTTGTTTTCTGCTGACCAAATAAGAAACAGTAAAGGGAATAGCAAAGAAGTACATCAAGTATTTAAATCCTTATTGCCATTAAACTGTTTCCAGTGTTTTTAAGTAACCTCTATTTGGAAAGGAAAAAGAACTTGTCTCAAAGTTCCTGCAACATCTAAGTTGTTTGGCTGCTTCTAATTTGTACTGCATTGCAAGTATTCCACTTCCCTTGATCAAGTAGAGTATAGTGTTAGAACTTGCAATGTAGCACAAATTAGAATAAGCCAGACAACTTAGATGTTGCAGATGACCACAAAGAATTGGTAAGGGATCTACTGGCATCACCCATCAGTACTACAGTAGCTCACTTTATTAGCAAACAATTATATACATGTGGGATATTAGATGCATGCACATTTCAGCTTCCACTTACCGTTACAGTTTCAACAGAATAATACCCTCGATCCACGTAATCCCCCATAAACAAGTAATTTGTATCCGGGCACTGCCATAGAAGATGAAACATATAACTGCCATCAGTTAATGAATCCAAGTTATCTTACATATGACAGTATACCACTCCAAAGGGAAGACATTAAAACAAAATTAATATCCAATGACCTCTTTAGGTACATCCTTCACTATCAAATTGCTATCAGGGATCAAACTCCGCATGTACCCTTCCCACACCCTAGCAAATATTATTATTCTTTCCTCTCCTCTCCCTTAATGTACATATATAAAAGATACTTCACATCCAGGAACAGTAGCATTAGGGATTCTTTCTCCATGTATACAAAAATAAGAAAAAAGAAATCAAGTTTGCAGGACCTATGGACTAAAGATGAAACAATTGCACTCCATCACAGAAAAAGATTCAACAAGATGAAGTCCTTTTCTAAAATTTTACATTAGGAATTTGATGTTCCTAAATTACCAGTCCAATTTGTAAGTGTTCATAATGCGTCATTTTGCAAATGCATCAAATGTTAAAACTCTTCAAAACATCGTCCTTAAAATTCCTTCTAGATTTTAAGTGAAGCCTTTTTCTGAGACAGGAGTTCGATCTGACATGCTACAGCAAGCGCCGTATGTACACCAAGATTTATGGCAATTACCATTTTCAAGGTTAGAACACCACAAAAGTAAAACAAATGTGGACAAAGAATTTACCTTTCCTCCTATGCGAAAAAGTTCAGCAAGATCATGAAATTGCCCATGAATGTCACCACAGATGGTCACAGGGCTTTTTACTGGCTGCACAAGGCAAAATCCAAACAATAAAGAAGTAGGAACAGCTGAGGTTAAATGCCACCATAAACCAGAAGCAAAATGTCGAGATTTCATGAGCCAGTGCATGCTCTGATGATTATATTATGATAGATAGGTTTACGTAGGATGCACATATCCTATTCACCTACTTGGTTCACACTCAAGAGAAACAATGACTCATTAGACAACTATCTTACTCTTATCTAGTGTTATTGTTACATACTTGGCACCTTATGAATCAAGCCCAAAAGAATTTGATGGGCCAACTGCATCATCTAAGGACGAATGAGTGATTGTTAACCACCATGCCAAGATACTATCTATTCATATTGAACACATATCTCAAACCTGGCCTCCATATTTCACGATGGTAGATCCTATATAAGAATTCGAAGAACGCATATAGCTCATATCAATATATCATACACAGCAATCACAGCATCCTCTAACCAAATGAGATCTCCAGATTCCATAATCTAGGAGCAATTGTAGATTTGAAGAAGATTATGAAAGCATTCACAGTCATCTGACTAAACTTGAGACTTGCAAATCATCAGAGCCATAAGCAGTCAAGTTATCAAAGAAAACCTCTAAGATTGTCCAATTAATTGATGTAATCACACATTCATGATTAAACAGCCGCTCTAACCCTCTGGAGTGGAGGACAGGTCTGCGCACACCCCCCCCCCCCCCCCCCCCCCCGACCCTACTTTCAATTGGGATATATTTGACTTGTTTGGTTTGGTTTACAAATTCATTAGGAAGGTTCTGCTAAATACACCTACAAATCAAAATGAAGTCACAATTACAATAAAGCTGTTGAAGAAGCCTAAATTATTTAATCTACAGGCAAGATGACAACAAGCTCAAGTGCTGTGGATGTTTTTAGTTCATTCTATCCATCAAAACAGCTTTTATAAACTGATAGATCCTAAATATAGATTATACATCTTTAGAAAGTAAGCCTGCGAACCAAATGAGTCCTTTGAGAATTTTAAAGAAGCAAAAGAGCTATTATCACCAAAATACCAGATAGCAAAATCTAATGATTATATCTCTTAGACCATGCTGCATATGCCAGGCCTATATTAGTTTCTTACTGAGAAATATGGTTAGTGGCCATGTTTATATATGCTCTTTCAACATTCTTTCCGGTGTTTTATTTATATCCGAGTAGCTTATAGATATGTACTGTTCATTATGGAGAAAAGTTCTCAAATTTCCCAAGGCATTTTATATGTCTGTTTAACAATTCAGACAGATCCTGAATTCAACTATAAAGTCACAAAGGTAACATGTAGACTGGATAAATATTAAAGAATGACTCGTTCAACTACAAAAGGGGATAAAGACTCATACCTGAACATTGCTTTCACCCATGAGTATCTCTTTCGCCTTCTCACATAATGTCCTAACCTGCATCCACATAGCACATACATTAACACAGTTGGTTCTAAAAAGTAAAAACTGAAACTTCACAACAGGAAATGTTTCCACTCTTGTTTAAATATTTTTAGTGGCTTGTTCAATTATTTTGACATAGTTCACTTAAGTTATCAATGAGTGACTATATGTGTTTCTTAAAAACACAAGCATTTTCTAAGTTGCATCAACTACCAAGCAGCTAAAGACTGCAGCAACATAACATAAATGTTTCTGAAAAGTTTCGGCTGTTGAGAAATACTGCACATGGTTGCATGATAATTCATATGATTCTCATAAAGATGCATTATGGCTCATCTTACATCAGCTTCATAAGAAAAATCCTTCGTTGACCATACTGACCATTGAAAATGAGTATAACTTATGGGATAAATTCCAAATTCTGTATATAAATACTCCAGGGAGGCAGGGAGAACAGTACAGATGGGTGAAAATTCATTTCCCTTAGATAATAAGTTAAAAAGAAAAAATGTTGTCAGAAATTGTTTAACTTGTTAATATCTCTGTTCTGGATGCATTGTACTACAGGATGCAAGAATCAAGTCAACTGATGATTAGCACAATACGTTAAGTCTAGAGATTCCTGCAAGAAGAAACCCTTTCTTGAATTTCAATCAGTATAGTACCCTCAAAAAAACTACAGATATATGAAGAAATTCTACATATATATCCTCCGACCCTCCACTTAGTCTACTACATACATTGTATCCATATGTGCAAATCCAACCTTCTATTATGTGTGCTCATTTCTACTCATAGTACCATTCATCCTCATGTGACCACTAATCCATCTTAGTGTTTTTGTTCCACATCACTTCTTTATCTGCATGTGCCTTCCACTTGGTCTACTGTTTACCATTGTATCCATGAGTCCCCCCCCCCCCAACCTTCTATCATGCATCATCATTTCTAGTCGTAGTCACTCATCCACATGTGACCACAAATCCATCTTAGTGTTTTGTTATCTTCACTTCTTTATCTGCATGTCTCACTTGGTGGCTCATCGTTTTAAACTATGAAGCACCTAGTTTGCAAACCATCTTTAAGATCATCCTGTAACTTCCACGGAATAAAATTCCCCAAAGCATGTCACTAATTCATCCATCCTGCTCTCATATGTACCTATTCCCTGTGGCCAATATGAAGCATATCCTTTATTGGCACTGAAATAATTGGGATGGAATCATGTATCTCATTATGAGGGGAATCATGTACACCACATGTGAAAAACAAAATAGATCAGTCACAAAAATGCAAAATAGAAGCAAAAGGGGATCTGTGCTCTGAAGCAAACAAGCAGCAGTGTCTTTGAAAGAGGCAGAAACAGTCAGATTCGATTACAGCTCAAGGAAATGGCAATAGAACAAAGCCTTTACAAATTACAAAGAAGACAATTAGTAAAGCAGAACATATCATAGACAGACCGGCAAAACAAAACAAAAGACTAGATGAGATTGGGTGGTGGTACTAGACTGTGACATCCCTATAAGACAACCAACCAAGTGTTGACATTAGCAAAGACAGCTTTCTTCACAACCTAAGGCTCTGGTACCATGAAATAAATGGGGTTGTAATCTTGTATCTCGTACGAAGGGAAAAGCCTAGTTCTATAGTGTACATCAAGGGAGGATAGAAGGAAACATAATAAAATCATGCTTAAATCACGGATGTATCTTCTAAACACTGGGATTCCTATAAACCATCTATTTGATGATAACATGTTTATATTGTGAAACAAACTAGCAGAACTCAAAATAGAAGAAACCACTCGTGGGACCATTGAACTGTACTGATTAACAAACATCTGATGCCTCTAAAGCTTAAGACGAAGATGGTGGACAACATTCCCACATAGCAAACTGGAACCATATGAAGCGATCCACATTCCAAATAACGCCGAAAACGTCCTCTTCAGAAATTTAAAATCTCTCATACAAGTATATTTGGCTTCTAATGGGCGTTCCCAAGTATTAACAAAACCTTCCAACCCAATGAGAGGTAATATGATCAAATCATCCATTGATGCAGATATGAAGTAGAAGTATAGTGTCAAACAAAGTCAATAATAATAAGTTGAAAGTTTTGCAAAGAAGTTTAAGCGATTGATTCAGATATATAAAGATGAACCACTGTGTCAGAAGAAAGTTCCTTCTCTTCTTACATTCTATACTATCTGATTCGTTCTCCCAAACAGGAAAATACAAGAACAAAAAACAAAAGATAAATTAGACTCCACCGATAGCTATTCGACGTTACAATCAAATATAAAAATTCAAAAAGCAGATATCCAGCTTACTGTAGAAAATCTATGTTCTTCCAGTAAGAACTAGCAAATCATCTTCCCCCTCAATTCTAAGGAGAGAGCTGACTCCATATTTAAATTTTATTATTTCTCTAATGCAAAATCAATATGGACCCTCCTTGTTTAACACCAACATTATTCTATTTCCTGTTTCATTACAAAGTTTCACATATTACTTCTATCTCTTGTTTTGTTACAAATTTTAAAATGTACCTGTTCTTTTAGGAACTGATAAAATATAATACAAAGTTTCACCTATTTCACAATTAACTCTCCGAAAAATTAAGCCGTATCCATTTTTGAAGTGGACAAGTGCTCCATCAAACATTCAAAGTCATAGTCCATGTCTTTATTTAGAATGGAGGGAGTAATCACTATTACATCATAAATTGCCTACAAAAAGGCATGTACAGAAGTCAATTGAAGTCAGACTAATTAACAAAAACACAAGTTAACATTTTGTTATCCTTCTACTAACATCAAACTTGAAGAACCCTAGTGCCCTGGTAAAATGAAATCGCAGATCCATCAAAAATCACACAATCTAAGATGAAAAAAGTTCAAGATAATCCCAAAAAGAAAATAAAGTAACTACACGTCAATCAGATGTGGAGAAAGAGAGGGAAATAGTTAACCTCAGGCTCGGTTAAGGGCTTGCACTGCATGAGCTGTGAAATCTGCTCGTCTAGGTTCCCGTAGGTGTTCGAAGCTAGATCCACACTCATCTTCTCCTGTATATTATATGTGTGTATACATATAATAAAGAGCTAGGGTTTCAATATCAAGGAGTCGTTCTACCGATCAAAATGGTTCCCAATTGAATACGTAATCAGAAATTAACATGAACAAGAAAGAACGAAACCCTCGTAAATCGTCGAGGTTGTTCTTTTGTTTGGATATATTGCAATTGACCTCCTTCAATGTTGTTAATATATCAACTTCAGTCCCTTTGTTTCCCTCTCTTTTGAAATATCACTCCCCATTACCAGTGGCGGATCCAGGAAATTAATGGGGTTGGGGCACGTTGGATGGGACTTGGGGGAGGAAAGCACATGGTCATATGGGACTATAGGGAACCATGTAAAACAAGAGTGAAAATAAAAAATTTAAGCCAATCAACAAAGGTTTTTGGTTTTTAACTGAGGGTCTTTCCCTCCAATGCTAAAAGGTTGGATCTGCCCCTGCCCATAACCCCATTATTTGGGTAAAAAGTTGATTAGTGGCAACTTTAACTTGCTTCACACGGAACCCCCTCCAAAACATCAATGTAATGGGACATCTTTTGCCTCACTCAGCGGCTGAATCTAGGGGGCGTTTGGTTCGCAGATTTTGAAAGAATCTGATAGAATTGGAATATTGAATTTCATTGACCAAATTCCTTCGCTCGTTTGGTTCATTCTTTTTCAAGAAATAAATCTTCAAAATCCTACAAATTCCACAAATGAAGGAATTTAACATTCCTTAGCAATTAGATGGTATTTTGATGGAATTGAATTCTCTATATTCATAATACCAAATATGCCCTTAACTCAATATACCTTAATCTCATAAAACCCAATATGACTGTCGTCGACCACCTCCCAAAAATGCCCTTAACTCAATATACCTTAATCNCCAATATGACTGTCGTCGACCACCTCCCAAAAATGCCCTTAACTCAATATACCTTAATCTCATAAAACCCAATATGACTGTCGTCGACCACCTCCGACCACTGTCGATTTGAATCACTACCGACCACCACCATCTGAACCACCATCGATCACTACCCGATTTGAACCACTGCCGACCACTATTGATCTGATCTATCGTTGAACTAAACCACCCCCGATCTAAATCACATCTGACCATCGACAACTTAATCACCATGAACCATCGCCGATTTGGATCACTGCCGACCACCAGTTTGAATCACTGCCAACCATCAACGATTTGAACAACTACCGATCTGAACCACCGCGGACCACCTCTATTTGAACCATAGTGAACCACCATTTGATCTGAACCACTGCGGACTACCATCAATCTGAACCATCGTGGACCACCGCCGACTACCTTCGATTTAAGTAATGTTGTTTAGCTTATGGTTATATTTAGGTTGTGTATTTTTATATTGTTTTACATATTAAATAATTACTTTATTAAAGTATTTTTAGTTTTAAAAAAATTAAAATTTTCAAAAAAAAAAGCATTTTGGTCATTTATCAATATTTCATTCAAATTCTAAAGCTACATTCTGTAAGCCAAACAAAGAGATTCCAATTCCTTAACAGATTCCATTTCATTGTCTACCAACCAAACAAAAGGTCAAACCTGACACCATTTCATTTCAGTTCATTCAAAGTCAAATTCCTTTAACATATTCTATTTCATCCAAAAACATTTTGCGAACTAAACACCACCCAAAGATGTCGGATTAAACCCTGGACCTGCCTTATATTTGGATAAAGTCACTTTACTCATTTATCAAATGAGCTACACGTCAAAGGCATCACCCCCATTATTTTTTCATCTCTTATATGTCACATTATTTCTAATTTATTTATCAATAACCTAGTAAAATTACATTACAAAAATAATCGAAAATAATTAAAATCAGTGTTCAATTATTTTTACATTTGTTTTGTTGTGAATTATACAACAGTATCAAAGGTGATAGCACAGATTCTTCGGTTGATTAAATAAATTATTACAAGTGACATTTTATAGGGCGATGAAATATAGCAATGTAATCACAACCATATAATCTCAACTATACATGTGTCCTCTCATTTCTCTGTCCGTTAAATCATGTGACGATACATTATTTGAGGGACGGAGAGATGACATGTGATTCTTATTCGTTACAAAACAAAGCAGATAGACATTTGGATCGAAACTCGTGGAGTAACATTCAACCACGACCAAGGTATATCAGACCTTCCTAGGGGGGTTGGGACCGATGGTCCTAACCTAAATCCAAAGATAACTGATTAAGAAATAATCACTATATATTAGATATAGACTTGTAGGATAGGGTCCCCTCACTACAAAAATGCTGGGTATCAGCGAGGGAAAATTCCCTCGCTGATCCGTCGCTGAAAGGGGTTTCCGTCGCTGATCCGTCGCTGATACTCCGTCGGTCAAACAGTCGTAGGTAATGCTATCAGCGACGGATCAGCGACGGAAATCAGTGACGGATTTGC